GAGCGGCCCCTGCACTCCAGTCTGGGCGACAGAGTGAGACTCCACCTCAAAAAAGAAAAAAAAGAGGAGCCGGCCCTGACTGCAGGCAGTGTAAGGTAAATGAAACCAGTGTGGAAATCTAATGAGGTGGGACCCCTCCGGCTACGGTTTAACCGTATTGATGTTAGTAACCCTAGCCAATAACTTTACCATGACATGGGGAATGGCTGATTGGACTTGCAGATAGTCAAGGACAGAATTAAACAATTACAGGAAAACCTCCAAAAACGGAGAGAAGACCTGGTCGGAGGCCCATTCTCAGGGTGGTGGCAACCCCAGCTTCTAACGTGGCTTCTCCCCGTTCTCACTCCACTGATGGTTGTTTTTCTCCTCTTGTCAATGGCCCCATGTGTTTTTAGGTTTCTCCAACAGCACCTGGCAGAGCTCTCTCGAATAATGCCAGCCTTAAGACCCCCTGCCCCACGCCGTCCCTCCCCAGCAGGAAGTAGCTAGAACGAGCTGGCGCCTCTATGACCAAAAGGCTGGAATGTAAGGTCGGAGGTACGGGAGGGCCGGGAGGGCCTCGCCTCAACAAGATGGCTCCAACCCAGACCAGGAGAACAATGGGCGAAAGTGAGCCAGCAAAAAAAAAAATGAGTGACAGGAACTAAGGCTCCAGCCACAAAGCCAGCCAGTACCTGTTACAGCGACTCTAGCAACCCTGTTCAGCCAATCGCCAGCAAACGTGACCGCTGTCCCAACCAGTGATTGCTCTCCCCAAACCCCTCACAGCTTTCTCAGTGTGCCCTTTATAAACCCGTTACCCATTTTGCTGGGCGCAACTTCTCTGGCCCACAGCTACATGGGCCGGTGAACTTCCCCTGGGATTGTGCTAATAAATTTTTCTTGGCTCCTTTGTTGCCGTTTCGCCTGGTCTGGTTTCATTTACCTTACAGGCAGGTCGTTGGGTTTCGAGGCCAATGGGGCCAACGGAACTAAAGCAGTTGCAAGTACAGCAAGGAAAAGGAAGCCTTCTCCAGAGCCAGAAGGTGAAGTCGGGCCCCCTAAGGTCAATGGAGAGGCCCAGCCATGGCTGTCCACGTCCACAGATGGGCTCAAGATCCCCATGACTCCTACATCCTCTTTTGTGTCTCCACCACCACCCACTGCCTCACCTCATTCCAACAGGACCACACCGCCTGAAGCGGCCCAGAATGGCCAGTCCCCCATGGCAGCCCTGATCTTTGTAGCAGACAACGCAGGGGGTAGCCATGCCTGGAAAGATGCCAACCAGGTTCACTCCACTACCAGGAGGAATAGCAACAGTCCGCCCTCTCCGTCCTCTATGAACCAAAGAAGGCTGGGTCCCAGAGAGGTGGGGGCCAGCGGGCAGGCAGTACAGGAGGATTGGAGCCAGTGCACCCTGCCAGCCTCCAGGACTCCTCTCTGGCAGCCACTGCCTCCCTGTGCTGCACCCTCTGCCACGAGCGGCTGGAGGACACCCACTCTGTGCAGTGTCCGTCTGTCCCTTCGCACAAGTTCTGCCTTCCTTGCTCCAGACAGAGCATCAAACAGCAGGGAGCTAGTGGAGAGGTCTATTGTCCCAGTGGGGAGAAATGGCCTCTTGTGGGCGCCAATGTCCCCTGGGCCTCTATGCAGGGGGGAAATTGCAACCATTCTTGCTGGAGATGTGAAAGTGAAAAAAGAGAGAGACTCGTGACTTTCTGGTTTCAGAAAAACTCAATGATTACCCTTAATTAAAACATGGCTGTATAATTTTGATTTTTTAAAAATACATTGTGTTTCTATATTTTTTTGGCGACAAAAGGTTTGTACTTATAAAGGCATTTTTTTTCTTTTGATAACGTTATTAGCATATCTTTGTGCTTTATTATCCTGGTGACAGTTACCATTCTATGTAGGCTGTGACTTGCGCTGCTTTTTTTAGAGCACTTGACAAATCAGAAATGCTTCTAGCTGTATTTGTACGTACTTATTTTTTAAAAAAAGCAAATATATTTGCTGACATTGTAAGCATTGCCTTACTGTCTGTTATTCTTTACTGCTGGCCCCTTTCTCAGACTGGAGGCTTCTTGGTGGAGAAGGAAAGGAAATGAGCGAAAGGGGCACTGTTGTCAAGCGGGCATGCCACTGGGAAATATCACCAGGTTTACCCCGAAACATTGTCCTCTCGGAAGAATAGGCAAATAGATTTTGACTCTCTGTTTTGTTCTTAAAGTTTGGTTCTTGGGATATGATGACTGTCTAATAGGTGCTGCTGGGAGATTTTCAGGATTGCGTGGTTTTTTGGGGAAAAGTTGACCACTGTTCACGCTCCACATGACCAGTTGTAAGATTA